AAAAAAAATACCTTGGAATAAACCTGACCAAAGACATTAAAGAGCTCTACAAGGGAAATGTTAAATTTTCAAAGAAAGAGATTGAGGAAGACATCAGAAGATGGAAGAACCTCCAATGCTCATGGATTGGAAGAATTAATATTGTGAAAATGACCATCTTACCAAAAGCAATTTATAGATTCAATGCAATACCAATCAAAATCCCCATGACATTTTTCACAGAATTGGAAAAAATCATCCATATGATGCATATGGAAGCACAAAAGACCTCGGATAGCCAAAACAACCCTGAGCACTAAGAGCAATGCCGGGGGGATTACTACACCAGATTTTAAGCTGTATTACAGAGCTATAGTCATAAAAACTACATGGTACTGACACAAAAATAGACCTATAGATCAATGGAACAAAATTGAAGACCCAAATGAGTAAATGCAATTTCAGCCACCTGATATTTGACAAAGGGTTCAAGAATATTCACTAGAGGAAAGACAGCATGTTCAGCAAATGGTGCTGGCAAAACTGGATCTCCACCTGTAGAAGAATGAAACTAAACCACTATCTTTCACCTTGCACAAAAGTTAATTCCAAATGGATCAAAGACCTCAATGTAAAGCCTGAAACTCTGAAACTATTAGAAGAAAACATTGGGAAAAATCTATAAGATATAGGTGTAGGAAAGGATTTTCTAAACCACACATCAATTGCTCAGGAAACAAGGGCAAGAATTAACAAATGGGACCTCATTAAAATAAAAAGCTTCTGTACATCAAAGGAGGCAACCCGGGAAGCGAACAGAAAACCCACAGACTGGGAGAAAATCTTCACCAGCGACACATCTGACAGAGGTTTACTATCCAGAATATACAATGAACTCAAAAAGCAGAGAATCAAGAAGCAACCCAATTAAAAGATGGGCTAAAGAGCTGAACAGAGAATTCTAAAAAGAAGTAAAGATGGCTATGAAGCATCTTAAAAGATGTTCACATCACTAATAATTAGGGAAATGCAAATTAAAACCACTTTAAGATTTCATCTTACCCCAGTCAGACTGGCTAAGATCAAGAGAACAAATGATACCAAATGTTGGAGAGGATGTGGGGAAAGGGGAACACTCATCCACTGCTGACGGGGCTGCAAACTGGTTCAACCTATACGGAAAGCAGTGTGGAGCACTCTTAAAAAAATACAAATGAACCTACCATTTGACCCAGTTACACCACTCCTTGGCATATACCCAAAGAACTCATCCTATTGCAGAGACACTTGTACACCCATGTTTGTTGCTACTCTTTTCACAATAGCTAAGAGATGGGAGCAACCTAAGTGTCCTCAATTGACAAGTAGATAACGAAAATATGGTTCATTTATACAATGGAATTTTACTCAGCAGTAAAGAAAAATGAAATCATGAAATGTGCAGGTAAATGGAACTAGAAACTGTTATACTAAGTGAAGTAACACAGACTCAGAAAAAAAAAATTGAAATATGTTCTCCCTCATATGTGGATCCTAGAACCAAAGCCTTATAAGTGAGTATGTATCCAGACATAACTACAGGAACCAGGGGACATACCTCTTAAATGTTCACTCTCACCAACTGGGGCCAAAGGTTCAAATACCTGAGCCTATGGGGGATAGTCTTAGTCAAACCACCACAGCCAGGGTGGTTATGATATGTAAAGAATGAGACAAAAATAATATATGCATAATCTTAAAATTTCAAAGGTCATAATTTAGTCAAGTAGTTTAAGGAACAAAATATATGTCTAGTCAAAGTTTATCTGAAAATGTTTGGGTTTTGCCCAAGCTTTATCTACATGACACACAGTAATTAAAAGTACCAGACTGGTACAACTAACCTTCTTGGATGTTTAACAGACCTACTTTGAGGCCTGTAATAATTTGGTCAGAGGGACATAAAGGACAGTTTTTGCTCCTTGCCCTCCTAGGTCGACTAGTTCCAGGGTACTATAAGCATCTCTCAAAAGGTCCTGTAATTGTAGTTGGTCACCTGTCTTCTTGAACAAATAGGCTGAGGAGAACCTACGAGATGGGCTTGAACCAGTGTCCAGTCTGCAAAGAGGAGGGTCAACACAGACGAATCATTTCCTCCATGCTTCCAAGCGAAGCCAGCCATGATTGAGTAGGACCTTTGACTTATCCTCACATAGGCGGAACTGGTAAAAGAAAGGAGGTAGGGGCTCTTCCCAAGCTCATGTGACCCCTGAGGAACAGATTCTCAAACAACTCTAAGAGTAAAAATAAATTGGTTTATCAGGGCCAACTCTATGGCCTTAAGGAAAAGTTATACTTTCCAAAAGGGAAGTATAACCAATGAGTAAAGGGGCCAATATAATTTTTTAGGAGTCCATATGTATAGCTAAAGGCTACATAACAAGCAACAATGCCAGATAGGAGATACCTTCTTTTGAGTTGTTGGTCAGGGTGGCCAAAGGGACTCCCAGATAGTAACCCAGCATAGAACTGGGAAAATGAACAGCAGACCCCAATCTTATCTAAAGGAATATTGACAACTGATTGCTGCTAGATGAGGAACAGCTGACCTTCCTAAAACAAAGACCTCTAGATAGGCTGACTAGATCCACCAGAAGGGCAAGTAGTGGGGAATGGCTGGGG